ATTTCTCAAAGTTTTTCAACATTCTTAGTAGTTTTTCTTAAATTTGCAAATTATTGGGGTAAATTGATACTTGTCAAATGAGAATTTTTTTTAAATATAAACACATTTCAAGATTAAATTACGAAATCATTGCATTTTTTTACTATTAAGTTTGCATGTAATTTTGTTTATCAAACGTTAACTCTAAAAATTTAACAAATCATATTAATTCGATAAAATTATATTTATAAACAAAATAAATGCAAAATGATTTAAAAATATTTTAAAGGCAATTTTAAATTAGAAAGCAAAATATCAGAATAGTTAGAAATGATTTTTTTATAATGTAATCAATAACATTATTGTTGAAAATTTGATACAATAAAATGAAATATGCCACACATGGAAATTAGTATTAAAATAAAATAAAGATTTAGAAAATAAAATGATCTCTCGCTCATGGTGTTTAGTATATTTATTTAGTTCTTGATTTTGTCGTGCTAGAAACTAATGTTTTTAAAAACTAAAATATTAATAAAAATCCTTCTTATATACTTTAGTGAACATAATCGACGATTAACCGAAATGCATGTTTATTTTTTTACCTATTTAGTCTCCAAAGTATAAATATTATTTAATAAACCATTTAGAATTGTGTTTATAACTTCAAATTTTGTGTTTTTTTCTTTTTTCTTTTATTGTTACAATGTCATTGTTTTAAATAGCATGCCAAGCTCTTTCTCTACAAAAGTTTGATTATATCTAACAATATTCTAGATTTGAATTTTACTTAAATTATACTATCTTCTAGTATTATTTCACTAAGCGTCATCTAAATTTCAAAATGATACATTGTTAAATACATTAAATATCTTCAAAATTTTTACAGTATAATTTTTTTTATCTTTTTTTGTGTACTAATATTTTTAAATCTTTCTACAGAGTTTAAGAATTGATAATATTTAAACTTAATAGTTTGTTTTTTTTTTTCCATTCGGGTATAATAATTTATTAAAATGGTAAAATTGAATATATGTATTGAGATATCGTGTAGCAATGCTTGTGACAAAAATTAACTTTATATGTGGTTTACTACAGTGATATATATTAATTCTATTTTTATTTCTTCACAAACATTTTTTAAATTAATAAAACAATCTCTTCTGCTTTATCAAAAATAAGAATTACTATTAAATGTCAAAGTAAATTAGTATTGAAAATTAAACAATTTATAACATTTCAAGATTTACCAGTTTACTCTACTTTTAAACGTGCAATTTTTAATGACCTAAATTATATTATACCTTTGTAAAAGACCAATTATCGTTTTTAACCTGATACTATTTCGTTTGCAATTAAATCAATTTATTATTAGCATTATAAATATTGCAAAATTCCCACTTTTAATAATTTTTATTCTATTAATTGTTCTTTTACAACTAAATGCATGATTATTATTGTCATATTTTATAGGTTAAATGTCTCCATGTAAAAAAATAACCATCTTCTCTTAAATGCAAACCCACATTCACTATATCTACTGTATTATTTATTTTAAAGTTTTATAAACTGTATTCATAAAGTTTTAACTTAAACATTTTACAAATGTAAAATATTTACAGTCTGGCGACTTCTTTCTATTAACTTTCTAGTAAACATTTTATCAATAAAATTTTTGTTGTGATTATTTATTTTACCTATCAATAAAAATTCTATTGTTTCATCTAAAATATTTTCACTATTAAATTTATATTTCACTATCTTATTCCTACTTTCTAATTTGTGTATTGCTAAGGGTAAAATTTATTATAAAATTTAAATTATTACTAGAAAAGTTAGATTTTTTTACATTTAATTAAACACTGCAGTATAATAAACTGTGGTAAAAACGCAGGAAGGCGACTAGAACTAAGAAAGTTCTCCACAATGCTCGCTCCTGAAGCCAAACTAAATTGGTGCAACTTAAATGATTTATTAACTTCATGGGGAATTGTGCTCTTGTGAGATCCCCTGTTGATCTTGTGATTCTCTTGCTGTTGATGATTATGTGAGTTATTCATGACAGCGATGCACTTCTTTTCATAAAAGATTTTATAGTAAAATTTCTTCAAGAAAATTCAGAAAATAGAAAACATTTCATGTGGAATTAATACCACATATGGATTAAATACTACAAGTATAAAGAATTAAAGCATGAGTATTTTATTTTTCCACATTTTAGCTTGCAATTTAAAATTTAATAATCCCAAACGAAATCAAGATAAAAGAAAGTGCATAAAAACATTAACAAAAAGTGCATATTTTATATTCTTAGAAACAAACTTAATATTAAAATTTTATAATAGTAATAATCACAAATAGCTATCTTAGAATGGTTTTTAATGACTTTTTTAGAGCTTCAGATTGATTACTTCTTTATAATGCAAAAAGTTCCACAAAACGGCTTATATATCTCTTATTAGGATATCTTAAAAACACATTTATCTTAACTTTGGCCCAGATTCCTTCTATTGCATTAGTATGAATACCTGCAGGATTGTCTACAAAATTAATACTATGATTAACCGTGCGGTATAGATATCCTTCTTTATGTAAGTTATAACCCCACCAACAATTTATATAAACAATACTAACATGAAGAACATACTTTTTAATTATCTAATTAATGTTTCTGATTTTCTTTTTTTAATTGTAATAAGACTATAAGTCTTGCTGGTGATCGTTCTACCATAACTAATACTTAAACTTTTTCTTCCTGTAGCCTTGATGATATTTACATTTACCAAAATTAATTCATCTATTTTCACTACCACGCCAGGGCCACTTATTTTAATGTTACTTAAAATACATTTTTTTGTTTTTTTATAATACGACCTACACTTTTTTTGTTTAAGCATGTCAAAAGTTTTTAATTTTATAACTAGCATTATTAATATATAAACAAATTTTTTTGTGCTATATGTAACCAATGAGCTTTTGCATTAAAGGAAGGTTTGTTTTTAATTAAATTAAAATCCTTTTTACAATCTCATTTAGCACCTTTCACCATATTTGATAGCTCCTTCTTAAATGATTACTTTTTAAATAAAGCCTACAAAAGCATCCCTGTACAACCACATTTAAAAAATTATGTAAAATATTTTCAGTTTGTTCATACTCCTTCTTCATTTTGATTTTGATTTTTGGGGGTTAAAAAATTTTAAACGGCAAGCTAAAATGTAGAAAATTAAATTACTCTTTAGCTAAAATAAGTTTTTAATTTAAAAAGTTTATCAAATACTATCTTAAAAATAATACACTTCTACCAGTTCTAGCATAAAATTTTTTTGTAGAACAAAAGTATTGTATTTTTTTTAACTCACTAGATTGATTTAATCTCAAACACAAAAAATAAATTTAAAAATGGCCGGTTGATTAAATTAAAATTATTCCTACAAAAATGTATTTAAGGCTGCTATACGAAATAACTCTTTTATAAATAATTATACTTTTTAATTATTTTCTTTTTTAATTAGTCAGAAAAAGACACAAATTGGATTTATGGATATAACACAAAATAGTATTTTGCCCCTTTTATGTCACAAATTTATAACTAATTTACTAAATTTGGCCCATGTATAATTTTTACTATTTTTAAAGCATCCGTGAGAGGTAGTGATCCAAATATAGCAATCTATAATTCGAATTTTTTTATTAGAAAATGTCTAATAGTATTTTTATTATTATTTAACATAGTTATGATAATGTTATTATACTTTAATAAAAGATTTGATATACTGAAATATGGAATGACAACTATAAAAGAAATAACAACAATATCAAATATTTTTTTGTTAAATAATCCTACTATACAAAAAATGGAAATATAGATGAAATTATTAATCCTAACGTAGCGTTACCTAGCGAAGGTGCCGCATCAGTTTTACTAGATTGTCTTGTAATCTGTATATTAGTTAGAATTTTAATTTTTTATAGCTATTGGTGGTGCAGTTTATATTTAGTAATTTTCAATGCTATTTTTTTTTATTTATTGAATTAAATTGTATCGTATTTTCTTTTAAAATACAACCCCAATTATAATAATTTAAAAAGTTTATTATTCTTATCTTCTATAATTTCTATCATGGGGATTTTATTTATATTTATAAATTGATGGGTGTTACAGATGTTAGTAGACAGCCTGTTTCAACTGTCAAAACAATAAGTTTAACATGTAAGGGCACCACAAAATGCTATAGTAAACTAAAAATTAAATAATTTTTATTACAAATTTAAATGAACTTTTTTTTCATATCTATATTTTTTTATTCATAAAACTTGCTTACGCTATCCCGTTTATAAAACGAGACTAAAAATACAAAGTATGCTTTCTTTTATTTAATTATGTGTATTGTCTTTATGCATGTATGAATTGTTTTAAATTTGATTTCTTTTAGTTAAAAAATACGGCACTGGCGCACATTTTACAATTTGAAAAGTTGAATAGAACTGAAGTGTGATATTACAGCCACTAAAAATATTGTAAGTCAAAATTTAATTTAATTATTTTCTTTTGTAATCTAGATGGGTAAAAATAAATATTAATAGTTAAAATAAATTAAAGTTATTGACATGGTGCAAATCATACGACGATATCACAACCACTATAGAAACTTAAAGTCAAATAATTTATTAAAAATATTCGTTTTTCTTCGTAATTTCGATGGGTAGAATAAATTTTATTACTAATCTATGACGCACTATAACTTAACTTCTGTTTTGCAGAGGATTAAGCTAACTTTGTTTGCTAATCAGGACCATTGCCGCAGCTATATTTTCCTCACCAGAAATTTTAAAGTCCCCAGCCCCCCTAGGTATAAATATAAATTAATATTTATAGCAAAATAAATTAAAACAAATGTCATATGGTAAATAGTACCACAATTATTTAAACACGATTAATTTCAAATACTATACACATAAAACATAAAAAACATACGAACCATTAGTAAATAATAGCCTTTCTCTAAAATAAAATTATTTTAATTAGTTAAATATGCCTGCCAGGAGCCGACATCTAGATGGAATGTTAAGAATTGTTTGTATGCATAAAGCTTGATCGTCTTTTGACGCAAAACATGGAAGGCTGTAAGACGTTTAATATATTTAAAAAATCTTTTTACTTGGGTTTCATCAATGGGCATCTCAAGATTGCTATCTAAAACTAATGTATAAAACACTTCATCAAATATTTCATCATCAGAAATATTATTATTTATAATCATATTACAAAAAGCCCATTGTAATACATCATTTTTGGAATTATAGTCATAATAGTTTTTCATGTAAATTTCATTAATTTTTTCACTGGGTTTATCTTTATAAACTTTTGTATAGTCCTTTTCCAGTTTATTAGTGTCTTCTAAAAGGCCAAAATATTTTATCAATAGAACTTTAAATTGCTTTTTTAAGCCCTCTTTAGTCCAAAAAATTTTATAGTCTATAATAAAATTTGGCAAATTAGAATATAATTTTCGTATTTTTAATAAGTCTAATTCTAGCTTATTACAATTCTCTCGATGTTTTGTGTATTGCTGGATGTAATGATTATCACATTTATTTTTAGCATCTAGTGATTTGTAGAATTCTCTAATACTTTCAATATTAAATATTATCTTTTTCCAATCTTCCAATGGATATGGTGTAAGACATCTAATATTCAATTTAATGTATTTATCTGGATCAAAATTTTTATTAAATTCCAATTCATTCTCGTATTTTAGAAATATACTTTTATCAAATCTAAAAACTTTACTTTGAAAATTTTTGCCCCGGCTTACATTTTCTGTACTTCTTTCTTCAGTTTTATTATTAAATATATGTTTGTGACATTCATTTTGTGAAAATAATTTAGGAAAATAATCGGAAGAAGCGCTTATCAATTTATCCCATATACATTTGCATTCATTTAAAAAGACATCTTCTTTAGATAAATATAAAGCCTGTTTGCGCACATTTTTTATTTCTTTTCTTAAAATTTGTAACTCGATAGATTTTATTAAGTATGTAGATTCATAATCTTCGACTGCACAATCTCTCAAATAAGTTACATAATTTATGTCATCATTTCTAAACTCAGGAACATGAAATTTACAAGTTATTTCCATTTGCTTTGACTCAATTACAGACCAATCACACCATAACAAAGTAACTTCTGAAACAAATTTTAATAAATAAATATAAATAAAAGTTAGCAATTCATTATCGTAAGTGTCTAGGTATAAAACTTCAGGTATAATTTTTTCAAAGACAATTTTATGAACATTAAGTAACTTAAATGGCTTAAATGAAGTTGTTGCTAATTTTTTTTCAAAAAAGTTAATTCCAACTTGTTTAAAAGGACTAAAACGAATGCTTGATTTTTCTGTACCAATGATAGAAAAAAGCAATTGATCAAAAAAATACAAAGTACCTCGAAAAGGCCTATACATGGCGTTATTACGATTTAGACCAAATTTGCCTTTTTTTCTATTACAATTATTTGCATTAGAAAATTCGTTGATTCTGCACAAAAACGTATTAACATCTAAATCAGTAATTCTTTTCTCAAACTGTAAAATAACGAACATGATATTTTGCATAACATTAACCTCTTTCTCATCTAGTTTTAGATAAGACGAAATTTTCTTTGTTACTCGATAAAATTTTTCCAAATCTTTTTCTAGTATAAAAAATGAAGTTTTAAAAAAAATTTCTTGTTTTGTAATTTCTTTCAACAAATATAATATATTAAATGCTATTTTATCTTCTTGTTTAATAACAATAACTTCTTCATAATTTATTTTATGAATCAACATCAGTGCTGAATCCCCTAATCTAAAAAAGTTATCGTCAAAAAAAGTGTCAAGTACAATCTCTAAGATTTGTTGCATGGATGATGTTTCTTCAGAATTATTGGTCTCGGATAATAAATATTTATGGTAAAATTCTATTGTTGTTCTGTATATTTGATGTGTTCTTTGATTATTAATACTTATATTAGAATAAATTTTTATCAAATAAATAAAAATAATATAAAAAATCATTATAGAGGGCTAAAATTTTTAAAAGATATTTATATTTACAAAAAATATTCATAAATTATTTTATCAAAAATCTGTATTTTTTCTTTTATTAAAATGTATATTAAATAAAATTTTTAAAATTTAAAAACAAATTATATAAATTAAAAAATTAAAGACACAATTTAAATTTTTAAGTTAATAAAAACCTATCCGCTGTATACCATACCTATAGCTGATAGTTTATTTATTAAAAATTTAATATTGTAAATAATTTGTAAAAACATGAATTATTTCAAGAGAGATTTATAATTTACACCAGATAAATCAAGCGACTATTAGTATAAGTTGTATATTTCTGATTTTTTATTTTATAAATTTTTCTTTAATTAAATTTTTCTTAGAAGATACGTAAGAAAATTTTGAAAAAGTGAAGATTAAATTTAAAGATAACAAGTTTTACAATAAATTTAAACATATTAATGAGTGTCATGCATTTCAAGAGCTGACCGACGGTAACCAATGAAAGAATTTTTAATCATAACAAAGTATTCATTCTTTCAGTAATTAGTGAAATTTTTTATCAAGTATTAAATTATTAAAAAAAACTTTAAATAAAATATATTCTCATGAAAGCTTTTATTAAACACAAGTCTATATATCTCTCATTCTTAGAAAGTCGCAGTATCCCACATAGGCATGGCAGTGAGATATATTTTTATAAGAATATCATTAACTTTACAATAATCTTTAAACATTCTAGAAAGCCAACTGCTTGAACACTTTTACGAAGAATAATTAGAATTTTAGTTGGTTGGTTCTATTGCAAAAAATGTAAATTGTTGTTTATTAATTAAGAAAAAGGAAATGGTTGTGAGTAATGTATAGAAATTAGCCGATATAACGCAAAAAAAATTTGAAGAAGGATACCATTTTCAATACTAATATATTAGAAGATATGCTTGATTTATTATACAAATTGACATTGATTGCTATTATTTTTTCTAAACGAAAAACATAATCTTAATCATTTAAAGAAGAGCAATGGCATATTTTTAGAAAAAATGTTTTTAACTTTTTCAATCAACATTCTAATAAAGTAAATTAAAATATTGAAAAATACTGTTATTTAAAATCATATTATTGATAAAAGAAGTTTAGAAAATGATTAAAATCATGAAACTTGAATAGTTTAAGCAATTGCTTCAGGGAAAATTAAATAAATTTTTTATATTTTTAAATATTATTTAAGGATGACAACTAGCAAGTTTTGCATGCTTTGAATTTTTTTAAAAATTAAGGGTTAAAAGATAACTAGATTAAGATTTATATTCTAAACAAAAGTAAAGTTTAAAGAAAGTAGACAAAACTTGCTAGTTAAGCAAACTTGTCGATATAAAAATATTAATTTAAAAATACTAAAAATTATAGCTTTTCTTGATATTTAATTCTTTTTAGTAATTGTTGTTTATTTGTAACCCTCAATAATGAAGATCGGTATGCATAATAATATTTTACTAGATATAAATACACTTTTATAAAGCTTAATTGAGAATGATACTATTTCTAAAAATAATCTATGTTTACGTTGTAACAGCAGATGTTCAATGAGGCCAATTAAAAGCGAGCAAAATTCTATAATTTATCGATGCAACAAAAAAGAATGTCAAAAGACATTCAATTTTTCATTCTACAATGATTTAACCAAAGTAATTAACTTAATTAATTCGTTAATCTTGAATTAAAACTTCAACCAAATTTATCAGACTCTAATTATTGCTAATACCACCATTCGCAGATATAAAAAACTTCTGTTAGTTTGTTCTAAAAAATATTTTTTGAAAGGTCGGTATTACTAGGTGGTGAAAGTACAATTGTAGGTGTTATCCCAAGCTAATAACCAATCATTTACAACAGAATGATTGTAACAACACTGATTAAAGCCATTGGTCCTCTCTACAACCAATAAGAATTTTGTATTGATATAAAAAAGTATTTAAGAAAATTTTATTACATAAATGTAGCCGTTTTCATGATTAACTTTTACAACAAATCACTCTACATTTCTTTCCTCAACAACCGCACGTTATCGCCTAGACACGGCAGTAGAAATTGAGATAAAAGCATTTTGTTAAGGCGTGGTATTATAAGAAATTCAACTTCTACAAATGACTAATTAAGAGTTACTGTTTGGATAGTTAGATGCGTTAATCGATCAAATTTACATAAATTTTTTATATGTAAAGTTGAAAATAAAACAATATAAACACTAACAGATGCTTTTAAGGATATAATTATATCAAATGGTGTACTTAATACTGATGGATTTGTCGTCTATTCTGTAATGGCTCCTAATCTTAATTAAAATCACCATGTAGTGAATTATTCAAAAGGATTTTGTTTGATTGATGGCACATTACAAATAACATTGAAGAATTTCGATCTCTTCTAAAAAGCACAATTAGGAAAGAAAATAATATGCAAAGAAGTTTTTAAGATGATTTGATTGCTCAGTATACCTTTTAATGTAGATTTAAAGTGAATACAAAACCCGAAGAATTTGTTCGGTGGTTTGTAGAAACTATAAAGATTTTTTTTGAATTAAATTAATAGTTTTTAAATTTTGTCTAAAAATTCAAAATATGCAAAAGTCGCTAGAAGGCTTAGAAATGTATCGATTAATTAATTGATATCAGTATGCATACTTTTTAACTTTAGATTGTCAAATGACAACTATTTTTGTCGAAAGAAGTTTAGAATGAAACCACCGCGATGGTTTGATCTCTAGTTAATTATTATTGTGTCATTGCTTATAACAATCAAAACCATTAATCAGTTGTAAAAACCTATTTATCTTCTGATGTAAATAGCTATATTTCTGTAAGATTATGAATCCAAAATTAACAACTTTATAAATTGTTTTAATTTAACAATTTTAATTGTAAAAAGCTAATATTAATTTGTTTTTTTGCAAAATAACAAATTTACAATGTTTTTGTTATCTGACAGTAATGTTTACTGATATTTTTTAAACTTTATGGTTCAAAATATAGACCTATTAATAAATGAATTTTTCTTTAAAAAGTCGTCACTTGTGATTAATTTTTATACAAAGTGTAATTTTTTTTTTGATTTTAAGATTTTTAAATAATTATAGCATTTTAAAACCAAATTTAGGTGGTATTATGAAATAATTAAAGTTATTATCTGATATTTACGTATTAAATTATTCAAAAAAAATTACTATTTTTTAAATTTACAACACCAAATATTAATTAGATTTTACAATAAAATAAAAGGTCAAACAACAATTATAAATATTAATCGCACTAATTAACAAAGTTTATTGATAAAATTTAACCTAATTCTGCATTTTAAAACAATTTTATGGTTTAAAAAAGGACTAGTAAATATTATAAATAAAATCTAAAAATTAAACAGCATTTTATAAATAAACAAATTAAAATGTCATTAGAAAGAAAAAAGGTTAATGCAGATTTTTTTTGTTGAATAAAGCTAGATAAACATATTTTTAAATAACAAGTTAAACAATGTATTTTTATAGTTAATTACAACATTAGTTTATTATCATTTTTATAATAACTCAAACCAAATATTAAACTTAATCAATGAAAAATAAATACTATGAAAAGAAAAAATCAACCAAATTAACATAATTTATATCTCACACGGAACATCAAAATATTCATAAAAGTCTTTGCAATGCTTGTCATTGCAAAATAAGAATCGAGAAATAGTCATGTCTTCGACATTAAATAAATCTACTTTTCCGTCGTTTTCAATATAATAAAGTTTGAATGTATCTAAAGTAGACAAAATTTTATGCTTGTTTCCCTGTAGGCAAAAAATTAAATCGTCGTCAAAATTTCTGCTTATTCTTACAATACTTTTTTCTTGAAAAATGTAATCGGAACCATTGTACAAATACGACTCGACTTCGGCTTTAAAAAGATGGTTTTTGTAACATTGACAAAATTCTTCATCTTCCCCTTCTTCAGTAAAGTTCGGATTATGTTCATAATAAATAACATTATTCTCAAAATTCAAATATTCTGTATACGCAGCAAAAATTCTCCGATTATATTCACCAATTTCTTCTCTAGTAGGCCCCTTATCAAAAACTGTTCTAGGCTTTTTTGGCGGCTCTAAAAATGGCCATTGAAAATCATCAACTTCTACTTCGTTATTAATAGATCTTTTTTTACGATATGTTGGGCATATAGCAGGACAGTCATAGTCAAAATATTCAGCAATAAATTTATAGATTTCTGAATCAACACATTTATGCAGCATATGTGAATCTTTTGAATTCTTAAAAATAATATTATGAATTTTATCAGAGATACAATCATCATCTGAGCTTTGAATATTGTGAAAAGATAAATTATAATGATAATCAGAGTTATCAACAAAAGTGCAGTCAGAATCTGATTTATAGTGTTTTCTGTATTGCACAAATAAATCTATCATTGGCTTGTTGGCTCTAGCATATTCTTCCGCTTCTTTTAGAAAATCTTGATTTAATTTTATTTTTGAATCATCATCCATAAAAGGGTAAAATTTAATGCAAAACGTATGATCAATCAATGTAGTTAAACGGCTTAAATAATTTATTTTTAAAGGCGGTTATAATTTACTTTATTAACAAACTCATTTTTTAATTAACTTTTTGTTGTGACTGCATTTTATTGCTTTTAAAAGAATTTTTAATAAATTCATCCTCTAAAGTCATGCAAGATAAGAAATGATACAAAAATAAATTATTTAATTTTACAAAAATATATATTTGACATTTTAGTTAAACATTTGTATATTTATATACAAATGTTGATAATTACTTATATTTTGTAGAAAACAATGAATTTTTAATTTTTCCCTCCAAATGATTTTCAAAAATATTTTGTTTTATTTTTTGTTAAATTAATTAATGAACAGCAAGACTTAACAACAAGCAACTATCAGAAGATATGGAATGAAATATAGTAATAAAATAAATAAAAAGCACTTTTTAGCACAGAATTTTGTATCATAAACGGCCTTTTTCTCAAATCGTCTAAAAATACAAATGCCATAAAAGCGATTTTTATCTTTTCAATTTCTATTTATGCATTTTACGTATTATTTAAAATATCTAAAAGCTTATAAAACTTTATCCTAAGGCTTCAATATATTAACTTACACTAGTATTTTGTAATTATTAAGCACTTAATAGTTATTTAAAAGTTTTTTTATAATTTAGAAATTAAAATTTAATTAGAAATTGTAACTATAAACTATTTTTGGGCAATGTATTTAATTTATTTACAATAAAGCATTTGCATAATTTTGTTGCATTAAATTAAACAGTTATATAACTAAAACATGTAGTATAGGTTAGTTAATATTTACTTGAATTACTTAACTTATAACGTTTATTTATTACACTTAAAAATACCAACTTTGACAATAATTTTTTCCATATGTTTACTTATTTCTTGACTTTATTTTGTTACCAGAAAAACTACCGACGGATGATATTTTCAAAAAAAAATATTCATTTTATATGTGTGTTTAATTAATTCTACTCAGATAATTTAGCATGGTAAAACGTTTTGCTGATTTGTTTAATCTGTCAGATTGAGCTTAATAATTGAAGGATTGGAACTTGTACGAGCGACAGTATTATTATTAGTATGTAGAAAATAATTTGTCAAGTGTTTGACGCTAAAAAATTTAAACTTTTTTAAACATATATTTATGTCAAAGTTCTGCCTTGTTTACATATTAAGTTGCTAAAAATTACTGTTTATTTAAAATCTTTGTCAGCTCTTCTGTTTCGTTAAGTTTTTTAAGTATATCACAACCACCTATTAATTTACCGTTAACAAATAACTGAGGAAAAGTTGGCCATTTATTCACTTCCTTAATCTTCTCTGCCATTTCTTTATTCTTAAGTACATTATAGTAAACTATTTCATCCAAATTAACATTATTGTCTTTTAGTATTTGTATAACCTCTTTACTAAAGTGGCAGTATGGATCAAACAAATCTCCTTTTATAAACAATACAATTTTACAACTATTAATAATTCTTTTAACTTCTCTTTCTAATAAAAGCTGTTTATCTTCAACATAATTTTTTATATTGTCATTTTTTAAGTAAATTACTTTTTTATAAAATAACAATGCAGGAAGAGTTTCAAGGTTGTATCGTGCTACCACTGCGTTTCTTAATTCTTGTTTGCTGCAATTGATTATACGTATATTTTGTTCCATTCCTGGTGGAATCTCGTTCTCATAGAAAAGTACAATATTGTCATAATCTATATCTGCGAAAGTATTTTTTTTCTTGTTATATTCCATTAAAAGGGTATTATTTCATGATGCTTTGTCTGCAATTTAAATTTTATAAGAAAACTAAACATTTAAAATTGTAGTCATAGTCCTTATTACATTTTAATATCGAAAATATCAATAATGTATTTTTTACACATCCTATCTTTAAATACACAAGAAATTTTTATATAGAATAAAAAATACTTTATAAGCTTCTTTATTAAAACGCTTATAAATTAATAGATTGTATTGTAAATAATAATGTTAGTAATTAATATTTTACACTAATTTTATTAATGATTAATATGCTCATTGTAAATATAATTGGGCTGTCTCTTATTTGTCTAATTAATACTTTTTAGACAAAATATACAAAAAAATTATAATAATATTGTTTGCTTCAAATTTAAATTCTCTTGTATATATGAAAAACAAAATAATACAACTAATATTAAATTAAAAAAGGTTTGCTAACGTAGTACATTAAGTTTTTTTGTGATAAATTATTAATTAACGGCTTAATATCTTAGTAGAAAAACAATGCTGAACGGCAAAAACAACCGATTTAAGATAAGAAATACAAAAATGAAAAAATTTTGCACAGTATACTTTAACATCGCTGTTTTGTTTGTATAACAAAAAACGTGTCATTAAGAATATTAGAAGTTTTTGATTAAAATTGATTGGGTTTTTTAAATAAAGTGAACATGAGCAAAATATATATCTAAAGTGTCTACTGTTGGACTTAGGTAAAAACATCATTATTGATAAAAAATACTTTTATATTTATTAAAGACCAAAAATCTGTGAAATCTTGATGTATCAAGAATAGATTACTTTAAGTACCCATCAAAAACCGTTTACGCCAAAGTTGTGTTGTTTCACTAAACTGATTTTCTCTTCAACTGGATACATATTGATCTTAACATCTATAATTTTATGTATACCTTTCTACTATACGAAAAATTATAAAAAATGAATTAATTTTTATTTAAATTATTTTAAAGATCCTGACTTTTTAGCTAAGCACAGTCAAGCCTTAATTTTTACTAAAAATAGGATATAAAAGCGGCTTAATTAAGGTAACTTTAAGCAGTTTATTATCCTTCTTTAGAGCTATTAATATTTTAAAAAATAAATCAATAAAAAATTGATTGTCTTACACAAGAACTGTCAAACATTATGGATGTTGACGTTTCTTGGTACTATAATAAAATACTAAAGACTATTTTATCTTTATTTAGAGATATTAATGTCGGCTGACATTTCCTTTTATGTTGTGATTTAATTTTCACATAATTATTTTGATCTTAAACCAAAGAATATATCAAGCAGCAAACTTGAATGCCAAAGGCATAGCTTTACTGATAAATAATTCTAATAAGTTTATTTATACTGCTGTTCCATCTCAATATTATAATATTTTTTAATTTAAACAAATAAAATTGTTGTTTTAAGCAGTATAAATGCACCTTACATTTTGTTTATGAACAAACAAAACATAATTTATTTATTAAATTTTTTTTTCACAAAAAAATAAATTAAATTGATAAACCATCCATTAAAAATTGATTTTATTTAAAAAAATAACACTGCAATTTATTACTTAAAAATCACCTTTTTATATAATATCTAAAAAACTAAGAGTTATTGAAATACAAACTTTTTGTAGTAAAGCAAAAAAAACTTTGTGTTGTTACTAAAAGGTTGGTTTTTTGCAAATACGGTTTTATTTGAAGTAACATTGTAAATGTTAACATGTCAACGGACTCATAATAGTGATTTTTGAGGTTTTTGACATTAAGAGTAACATCCAACACTTTATCTATTGGTTTCTATATTTACTCCTTAAAAAAAGGAGCAAGTATATATAAAAAAGTTTTAAACATTTTGTATGAACAAAAAAGGGACAACAGCTAAAAAAAGTAATCTTAAAGCAAATAATCCCATTTTAAAGTCTTCTAACTACGATGAAATACAATACATAGATGAATGGATTGATTACATGAAAGATTATAGTCAATCAAGTAGTTTGTTATTGAGTAGTGAACACGACGAAGAATCTTCATTTTCGTCTATTATGAATTTTTATTTGTCAGGTGAAGAAAAATATCTTTTGTCTTCGGAAGATTTAAAATGCGATTTAAGTCATAGAGAAGAAAAAAGGGAATTAAAGATGGTAAATTATGAAGAAGAAAGTGAAGATTTTGAAAGTGTAGATCTTTGTTCTAAGGAAAATTTGGTAGATTCAAATGCAATGAATAATTGTAGTGATGAGTTGGACAAATTAAGTATTAATAGTGATGATTTCGATAAATTAAGTATTTGTAGCGAAAATTCTGATAAACTAAGCATTTGTAGTGAAAACACAAATGATCTAAAAATTATTAAAGAAGAATCAGAGTCTCAGAACACAAATTGTAAGCAATTGACTAATTTAGATAAACAAAATTCAATTATATTAGAGGATGTTGAACTTATAAATCTCAATAAATATAATGAATACACTTCACCTGTACGAATTGAAAAAAATATAAAACCTTTTAAAGTACAAATAACCAGAATAGAAACCCCAGTAATGATAACAAAAAATAAACAGTCTAAACCTTTATTGAGTCAATATTTTAGCGAAGACTCGTCTTCTCCTAATAAAACATTCGGTTTAATTAGTGAAGCAAAAAATCGAACAATTCAACAAAACAAAAGAACTGAATCAGATGTACCGTTAAGAAAATTTGTAATTGAAACAGATCAAAGTGTTATTAACATTAAAGATATTTTAAAATTGAATGACCTTAAAAATCGAACTATAATAGGACAAATATTAAAGAGAAGTTCAAAAGGCTATTATACAGAAAATTGGGTATCCCTTAGAGAAACGTTTTTTACATGTTATAATTCCAAACCACATAAAAAAAGTTCTAGTTGTGTAATGAACGAAAGAAATGGAGATATTGAACATCCATTAGATTCTTCTCAGTTTTTAACAAGAAAATATTCTATAGATCTTTTATATAGCAAGCTTTATGTTTCAAAAAATAGAGGAAAGTCGAGTATATTTTCTTGTTTTTCAGAAGCTATTCCTGCAGAAGAAGATCTTGTAGATATTACTGATGTAGTAGTAACAAATGTAAAAGAATCTACCATGGGATACACCCTTACTCTTAAAAAAGAAGATAGAAATGCAGAAATAAATCTTAACTGTCTTAATTTTGCTTTTAAAACTAATGATGGGTACAGATTTTTTAAGGTTAAAAATTTAACTGAATATTTGACTTGGAATGTCGCATATAGATTTAGAAAAAACCAGGTTTCCTTAAATATTGGCTGAAATAAATGTAAGTTTAAAATATTTTTTTAAAAACTATGTGATTTTTATGTTTGCAAAATTGCTATTTAAAAAAAGTTAATTTTTTTATTTGTAACAGAAATATAAAATTTTAATAAAAAAGTTGTAAATTAATTAGTTTTATATATAAAAAAATTAATTAACATATTATTATGTTTAAAGTTCTAAATAAATAACTAACAAATTATATTAACTTAATGTTAAATATTATTATAAGGAATTTAGTTGCAGAATAAAAAACAATTTTTTTACAAAAAATTTTAAAAATATTACTAGACAATGGTTTAACGTCTAGTCAAAAAATAAAGCTTTATTATACAAATATCATGTTTTATATTTTTTAAACCGATTTAACAGTAATTATATTCAAAATATTTATAATAAATGTTGTTTACAGCGGAGGAGGGTGATGATGCTAGCTTAAAAAGAGAAAAACAAAATAAGCACGATCAGTACGGAAGCAAAGAAATAATGTAAGAAAAATATTTAACCCAAAAATAAATTAATATTTAGATAAATATCTTTATGCATAATATCTTTAAATAAAATAATGAAGTAAAGTTTGATGTATATTTAAACTTAATTATTTATGTTATAAAAAAATATTTTTATTAAATAGCAGCCCTAAAATTGTATATTTTCATAGAAAAACAACTTAAACAGATACGTCAATTTTTTATAACTATTGCCAGAACATAGACTAAAATCAAAAAAATTTTGTAATTCTATCAAATATAAACCGGATTTATTACAATTTTGAAAAAAAAATTTTTTTATGAGGTAAATGGAAAATAACATTGTAAATAACACATCAAGAACGTAAAGTATTTTTTACTCAAGAATATTTATGACAACTTAATATAAAAAGCTATAAATGTTTCACATGCAAGAAAAAAAGTTTTTTAAGTGTACAAATTGGTCTTAATGACAATATTTTTAAAAGACCTATTGTTTATTAATTATTTCTACAAAATTGCCTTTAAATATTATTTTCATAAGAAGTATATAAGACAATCCCAGTAAAAAAAATAAAGCTACACAACTAAAAATAGATGTATATGAAATATTAGAATTTTCAGTATCATAGATTCTATTTTTTGGTACAATTTTTTCTGTAATAGTATATTCTACCTTTTTCTTTCCATTTAACTGCTTAGCACTTCTCTTTACAAAAATAAAATCTCTATAATTACTAAAATCTATATTTCTTCTTCTAAAATTTTCTTTGATCTGATCATTTATTAAAGGAAGTACTTCAACCAATTCGTTTCTCAAAAACTTTTCTAGTTCGTCATTTGGTATATTTAATTTGTCGTATGTGATCATGGATTTGGCTTTATTAAAGTTATGTCTATGCTTTCCTTCATTTATTGCAAATAAAAGAATGATATAATTAAAATACATGAATTGTTTATTCAAAATGTATTTATATACATTTTCTAACAGCTCTAAATATTTACATGTTTTATATTTATATTGTGTATTTATGTAAGACTATGAAGATTGGTAGTTACACGAATATAACAAGAGCATGTTTCACACTCTACTCGATCATATTTTATATTTCTTTGGTCGTAAGATGTACCACATCTACAAACAGTTACATTAATTTTATTTAAGGGGCATAACAGAAAAAAATTTTCGTCTGACTTGTTGGTTATATATTCTTCATATGCTTTTCGTAGAACAAGATACGAATTTATTGTATCTTTCTTAGATTTGTCTGGATGAAGTTTATATAATTCAGTCTTGTACGCTTTTTTTAGATCTTCATCTGAGCATTCATAAGGTAGATTAAGCAAGTAATGTATAGACATAAAAAGGGGTTATTAATTTAAAGCAAGAATTTATTTGTTCAAAAAATATAAAAAAAGATTTTTATATTTCAAAGTTGGCTTTAGATTTTACCAGTTAGTTATTAGTAGAATTACAATTTTATAAATTTATATGTGTATCAAGTGCAGAGTTTAATATAATTTATGTAAAACTAAAGTAAAAATTAAATTGTTTAAATACTTGTAAACAGTAAACCAAATCAAAACGATTGATTAAAAACAAAGTATAAAAATTACAAAAGACAGGAGAAATATTATAGTAAAATTTTTATTTATTTTATAAAAAAGGGATGTTATTATACAAAAACTATCTATATTAAATCAAGTTTAGCACTATATATTAATTTTCCAAATCTTATTAAATTTAAAATTTGTACATTGACAAAATTACATTTTAATACATTACTATCTTAATACAATTTATAAAATGTCAAATTTGCACAGTTAAAATGAATTTATATGTTTGAAAAAAAATTGACAACTTCAAAAAATTGTTTATTCTATCAAAAAAGGCTTTGGGTTTCTTTTTTTAAAATCAGCAAATATTGTATTAGTTTCTAATATTTTTTTAACAGTCAAATTATTATCGATGTTATTTAGAAAACCCGATATATTGGCTACTATATCAGAATCGAATACACCGCATAATACATGTGCCATAGAAGTATTTATTATACTCTCATTGTTTACATATGTTTTGATTTTGTTATAATTATTAATAAAATATCCAATTATCCTATTTTTAAATTTTATATTCATCGACAAACCAAGAAAATAATAGCTTAAATTTTGCCTCTCAAGTTCTTCATATAGATTTAAAACTTTAGATATATTCTCCTCCTCTTGTACAGCTCCTAGTGCTTTCATTGCCATAAGTCGTATATTTGAAATTGGTGAAGTTTTTGACAGTTGAATAATTTCGTCAAGATTATCATCTACAACCGACACAAACATCGCGTAAACATAATCCGGACTTATGAGACCTCTACCGGATCTAAATATTTTGTAAAAACTTTTAAATCTTTTAATTACATTTTGATCGTTTATAAAAGCTGCGCTATTTAAAAGTAGCCCGCTAAATAACTTAGTAGAAATAGAATTAGTATCTTCTTCAAAATATTTCATATGTTTTTTTAAAATTAGTGCTATAGTGTCTTTAATATAAGTGGCTTGTTCATCATCACTGTAATAAATTTGATATAATTTTTTTAGATTTCCAATAATAGATTTCATAGATTCATAATCGTAGTCTTTTGATACGTTAGTTATTATTTTTACTACCCACGCAATGTCTACATATCCTCCAAATGCAAGCGCAAACAAGTCGTTTATAAAATTAAGCCTGTCTTTATTACTACTAAAAAAATTAAACGTTCTTTCCATTACATCCTTCGGATATAAAACTCTATAAAACCCCACATTAGACAAGTTTAATTTATAAATTTTACTTTGTTTAGAAATTGTAAGAGTATTTTGTGACATTAAATGTACTTGTGGTGCATTATCCTTAAATTGTATAGTTACAGGTATTATCCAATTTTTTTCGTCTTGATTTTTTGTTCCAGCAAAAAATCTTGTTTGTGTAATAATTAGATTATTATTTTCTTCTTTTACAGAAAGCAAAGGAAATCCTTCTTGATTGAGCCACGAATTAGCCATCCTGGTCGTAAGTTTAGAGTTTTCTTGAAAAGTAAAAAAATCGTTTGATTCTGCATTAGAATACTTAAAATGCTTTAAATATTTTTGAATGCTCTTGCGGAAAGATTCGTGTCCAACAAAATTTTCAATCATTCGAATTAACGATGCGCCTTTATTGTATGAAATAAGATCAAAAATTTGGTTTATCTCATCTGGATCTTGAACTTCGACTGCCACTGGATGTGTACTGTGTAAAGAATCATAACTCATACCTTCTTCAAGTGTCATATTAATGAAATTCAGCCAGATATCAAAATCAATAATATTTTTAGGCAAATTATAAATCGCCATGGTTGCAGCCCAGGTTGCAAACCCTTCATTGAGCCACAAATCATTCCACCAATTCATTGTTACAAGATTGCCAAACCACATATGAGCCAATTCGTGACATACAGTATCTATTACTCTGATCTTAGATGCTGTTGCATCTGTAGCTGGATTATATAACAATGAAGTTTTTCTAAAAGTAACTAATCCCCAGTTCTCCATAGCACCCATTGCAAATTCTGGTATGGCTACTAGATCTAATTTAGGAAACGGATATTTAATATCAAAATAATTTTCAAAAAAATCTAAAGCATATTTTGCGACATTTATTGCTAGTCTTCCATTTTTAATATCAGACTTATCTGCATATATTGTTATAGGTATTTTATTATTTTTCGTTGTCATTTGTATACTCTCAAGCTTACCTACGACAAAAGCAACAAGATAAGTTGACATAGGCTCGGTATCATTAAACAAGTAAGTATTTCCGTCTTTTTTATTTAGTGAAGAGTTAGATAATACAATATTGTCCGGTGGTGCCGTTATTTTTATTCTAAACCGGGCTTTCATATCAGGTTGATCAAAGCATGGAAAAGCTTTTCTTGCATAAGTAGGTTCAAAATGTGTAGAATAAAGTGTATTATCATTATAATTGCTTTTGTATATCCCATCCATCCCTTCAGAATATTTACTTCTATACTTTATCTCTAGTTTATATTCTTCATCAGTTAAAAGAGGGTTGTGAAAAAATATATCTACAGTATTTTTTTCACTGAAAAATGTACCTTGAAAAACCTTGTCAGATACAAATAAATTTATGGATTGTATATCAAGATCTTCGGCATTTAGTATAACTTTTTTTGTTTTTTTCTTTGTTTTAAAATATATTTCTGTTGTACCTTCAAATAAGTCAGGCGTAATTGTAAAATGTAAATTATAATGAAATGGTATTATTTTGTTACTTAGTACTTTTTTGTAAGTTAATGTGTACACCAAAACCAGCTTTATAAGTAGTATCATTATTGTGTTTATATCCAATAGAATTTTATATAATTTATTTATTTTGTTTTAAATCATAGTTTTTAATACTAAGATTAATAGTTTCAACAAATTATTTTGACTGTTGTAACCATTTCAATTTATTTAAATATTTTTTTATCCCTAAAATGGTAGTAAAATTTTCAAAAAAAGTTATACCGAAATCTACTATAATTAAACGAAAAACTGTCAGATCACCCAACCCTTTATTGCAATCCTTGGCAGATTTTTACATAAAGGTGGCAAAGAATTGTTCATTTGATGATATTAAAAGAATTGCTAAGCGTCTTACTATGTCAAATAAAGATCGACCAGTGGTTCGTGTTTCCGAGATTGTAAAAGCATTAGACAATGACACAGATAAAGTGGCTGTTGTTGTAGCTAAAGTGTTAGATGATGAAAGGTTAGTTACCTTACCTCCCATGAGAATTGTTGCTTTAGATTGGTCTAAGTCCGCCCAAGAGAAGGTTGAAAGGGGCAATGGATCTTTTTTTACTTTAGATCAATTGTTCAAAATATGCACCGATCTTAATAATATTGTGTTAGTACAGGGAGATAGAATGAAAAGAAAAAGTGCGAAATTTTGGGGTAAATCGCCTGGACAGAAAGGTTCTTCTACATTACCTAGGGCTAATAAGAAACAACGTGGTGGTGAAAAGAGAATACGCATGAAAGGTAGAAAGACGGCTACTAAAAAGTCAACAAGCGATTAAATAATTAAGTTATTTTTTTAACGGTATAGCAAGTTAATTTTAAAATTGTTAAATTAGAAATCATTTTATAGCAAAGCTACACAAAATCCATTTAATTTTATAGCAAAGCTACACAAAAACCATTTAATTTTATAGCAAAGCTACATAAAAACCATTTAATTTTATAGCAAAGCTACACAAAAGCCATTTAATTTTATAGCAAAGCTACACAAAATCCATTTAATTTTTAAAACAATCAAAAAAATAATTATTAATTAATTTAATATAAATGATGATCTTCTAGATATTTATTGTAATTATTATAAACCCGAATCTTGCCATTATAAAAACCAAATATTTTATCAAACTTTTCTAAATGAGACTGCTTATGTAAAATGACTATAGAAGTTTTAAATTTAAGCGAAGTAAAAATATAATCAATAAGCTCATTTTGAGAAGAAGAATCCAGATTGGATGTATGTTCATCATAAATGAAAATGTCTCCATTTTTTATAACACCTCTGATAAAACTAACTCTTTGTTTTTGACCACCGCTGAGATATTTGCCCATTTCACCAGCTTCAGTGTGATAACCCTCTGATAAATTAGAAAATATTTTATGAGATCCGTATTCTTTACAAATATCAAATATTTTTTCATCGGAAATGTTACTTTTGCCATATTTAAGATTTTCAAGGATGGTGCCCTCTTTGATACCAGGATTCTGGGGAATGTAAGAGATAATATTTCGCTGTGAATATTTACTAATTTTGTCCATTTCAATATCATCAAATTGAATTGATCCTTCATATTCCCTCATTCGTAACAAAGCATTTAAAAAAGTTGATTTTCCACTTCCATTTTTTCCTACAATAGCAATTTTATCTCCTTTGTTTATTGTAAGGTTAATACCAATACAGATCTTTAAATTATTAATATATAAATCAACATTGTCAAATACAATGGATTTTTTAAAAGAAGTAATATTGATACCTCTATATTCTTCATCTAATTTAGCTTCTACAATTCGAGAATCTGAAATATCTGTCATACATTGGGAAACCTTTAATACATCTTGAGTGATTTTTGAAACTCTAGTTTTAACATCTAAAAAAAGTTTATTGTATAACAAGAACCCCGATGAACTATTCATTTTAGTAAAAATAGTATTAGTCAGTGCAAGGTACAAGATGTAACCATTAGGTATAACCAATGCATTTTTCTGCGCAAATTCGGCGAAAGAAGTTATACAACTGAAAATAATACTTTGATACTGTACTTTTTGCAGGTTTTCATCAAGCTTCTTTAGTTCTAATTCTTCATTTGTATATGATTTTATGACATCATAGTTTACGAGAATTGAATAACATTTATTTGACACAATATTATAAGTATCGTTAAACTTTAATCTAAAATAAACTCTCATTTTAATAATATACCACATTATTACTAAGTATACTATAAATAACAATACATTGGCATAAAATGCTCTATGATCTATATCTGTATATACTTTATAAAAAGCTATACAAATAAAAGTTAAGTCGTGAAAAACATTCAAAATAAGAAGTTTTAAAAAATCTTCGATAGCAAAAAGCCTTCTCTGAATAATAGCGTGTATTTGCCCAGATCCGAGGGAATGAAACGTGTCATAATTTACAAGAACATATTCATTTGTAAACGCACAAAACGATTGTCTTATAATAGAAGATATAAAAAATGAAATTATAATTTCATTAAGTAATATGATAACATAATGAAAAAAAGGTGTACACATATATCTTATCATCAAAGCTTCCGGTGATTCTTTTTTTATGGAGGTAGAAAAATACATATCAATATCAGCAACAACCATTAAAACATATACCACAAATTTGGCCGCTAGAACAGAAAGTAAAATAATCGGTAAAAGGACTATTTTAAATAAAGGATTGCTAGTCACTATAGTTAATATATATTTCGCAGACTCCCAATAAGTGAGAGTTTTGTTTGACTTTTCCATATAAAGGGGTAGAAATATCCTTTTATCTATCAAAATCATATCAATTATAATTTAAAGATTTGACGTTAAACTTATCATAAAATTATGTCTTTTAATTTTGTTAAAAATTTAATTAATATTATAAAACAAAATTAGCTATTAACCACCTTATTTATATAAATTTCAAAGACAAAATTCCAACACTTTTCATATTTTAGTACATTTATAGATATCTAAGTTACCCATTAATAATATTTAATATTGTTCTTTAATATATAACAATTTTATATCTTTTATATTTAAATAGTGTGATATAGAATATTACAAAATAAATTAATTTGAAAGAAATTTAAATTAATTAAAAACAAAATGGCTGTTGGAGCTTTTTAGAAGAAAACAAAACTTTATAAATTTTTTAATTTATATCTCTCTTCTCAAAAAATAATAAAAATAGTAGTATCGAATTGATTCGTTTTAATAAAAATAAACACTTTATTAGTAGCACTTTAGAAGTTTATTGAAAACATAACAAGATTCTCGTTGTAACAGAAAGATAATATTCTGTTTGTATATTGAACTTTTTATTAAATAATTTGTATCCAATTTATTTCAACAGCAAATATTATTTGATCGAGAAATTTAATAAATCAGTTTTTTAAAAGAAAGAATATTTTATATTAATATCATACTATAAATGTTTGTACATAATTTCTAAAACTTTAAATTTCTTATAATAAATTTTTCAAAAATTTTTAATAAATTTTAAAAAAAATCTTGTTTTAAAATACGAAGAACAGTTTACTTAAAATATGTTTAGTAACATAAATATCATCTTTGTTGTCATATATATGACTTTTTCAAATCAAATTAACACACCAAACTATTATTATTTGAGTTTCAAAATATAAAGGATGAATATTTTTTCATATTTATGATTCGTTTATACCGAATTGTGTCAAAAAATACTTTTTATTAAAAATCAATAATAAATTAAATAAAAATACGGATTATAGTAAAATACAACTCCTTTTTTACAAATTAAACACCTTCAATAAAATTCCACTTCTACTACCCCCCTTTTTTAATGAATAAAAACTTGAGAATCTTCATCAATTTTTTGGAAGAATACAAAGCTTACAAATATTTCATTTTCTTGATCATTGTCTTTATAATAGGAGCAGCTTATATTGAAGTAAAAATTAAATTTGATGAGATAGAACTTCTTAAAAATATAGAACATCCTTCTAAATACACAGAAGGTGTCAGAATTTTGATTTTTCAGGCCTTAAAAATAATATTGTATTCTACAATTGTATGTCTGTTTCCTATCATCAGTGATTATTATCTTACTAAATGTTATAGAATATGTATTTGTTATTACATTATGAAAGCATTAAATTTAAATCAAGCTGCATTTAACAGTATAGGTCCTTCAAATATTAGAAGTATTGTTGATAGAAAAGTTTATCAAGTAGTATATGGATTCCATACATTGTTGTTTTCATTTTTATATAACATCTTATTTTCTTTATGGATTTCGTTTTTTACTTATAAGTATTTTAACTCTTTTGTATTTTTTTATTCTATTTTTTCTATTTTGACTGTTATATTCATTGCAATACCAATAGGAAAGATACGAAGTCGAGTAAGAACAAAATATACAGAAAAATATGATAAAGTAATAAAAGGGATATATAGAATTATTAATAATTATGATATTATAAAGGCAACTAATAACGAAGAACAAGAAATAGATATTTTTGATGGTTGCTTGCAATATATTAAACATTATGGAATAATTAACGCAACTTTATATGCTTTGGGGACTTTTTTGTCACGAATTGTTGTGATTATACCAAATGGCGTTTTTTTTTATTTTATACTGCTCGGTAGCAAAAAAATTTCAATTTATACATCAGCAGAATTTGTTCTGTATAATAAGTTGTTTTGTACCTTAAAGTCAAAACTCTTAGCTATTAAATGTGATTATGTAATGTTATTACAATTTTATACTGATATTATTAATAACGATTGGGATGAAATTCGTTGTGATATTGAAGACATGGCTATGTATTTTGAGTATCAAAAAGCAGAAATAAAAGAAATCGAATTTAAAAACATTGAACAGAGTGTAAAAATTGGTGATACGGATGATATGCCTGTAAATGTAAAAAAAGCGCGAGATTATGACGATTTTAGTGTTATTAAAAAAACAATTTTAGAAACACAGGTTAAAGATAAAAATATTTTTTCTGATGGAACAGAGAAATTTTCTTTTACTAAACATATAAAATTTCAAGAATTTGTTTTAATTGTAGATGATAAAATTTTAACGAATCCATCTAATTTTGTTATTTATAAAGGCGAAAAAGTCGCTTTGGTGGGTAAAAATGGGTCTGGAAAGTCAACATTTTTAAATGTATTTTTGAGATATAGAGATTACAAAGGTGCTGTATTTATAGACAATACTGAAATGAAAAAAATATATAAAATTGATCAAAGAAACAATATTTCTTTTATTCCTCAAATTCCAGGAATTTTGTGTGGTAAAATCATAGACATTTTGCTTTATAATAATAGAATTATGTCAATTAATGATCTAGAAAAGTTATGTAAATTATATAACATGCACTTTAATGATTTAGAAAGAGATGTAGGAGAAAACGGAAAAACTTTAAGTGGTGGAGAAAAGCAAAAAATTGCATTTTTAAGGGGAGTAATAAAAAATGGAGACATTTTTTTATTGGATGAACCAACAGCAAATATGGATACACAATCTGAATTGAATTTAATAGACAAATTGCATAATATATTATATGATAAGACAGTTATTGCTATAATCCATAATCACACCTTATTAAAGCAATTTGATAAAATTATAGGTATAGTAGACAAAGATGTTAAAGTATACAAATCATACGACGAGTTTATTGAAGAATCTTATTTATATTAAATGGTTTTTTTTAATATTGAAATCCTGCTTTTGAGTTTATATTTGTTTAGTAATTCATGTATCGATTTATATTACAACTAAATAGTTGACTTATATTGTACATTTTTGCGTGATTGAAATTGTACTATTAAGTGCCGTTTTGTAAATTAACTAAAAATAGCACAAAGTAACTATTTGTTCAAATTTAAAATTTATCACGATTTTTGTAATACGTATTTGTTTACAAAATCGAAATATAAACTAAAGTTTGGAAATTTTAGCTAAAATAAAATGTTGTGTTTTGCTAAAAAATGATTAAAACTTTTTTAATTAAAATTAATTTGTTTATTATGAAACAAATCTAAAACATTTATGTTTTTCATATAAAAAAAACTTTTTGTTATTTTATTATGTTTTTAGTTTTAATATTAGAGTCTGTAAGTAGTTATATGCTTGAACCAAGACATGGATTAATGATTACAACTAAGACAACTACAAATCCATTCGCCTATAACAACAGCTTTAGCCATATGAGACCTTTTTCAGAACCTCTATTTTTTGAACGTATTCACAGAGAAATGGAGCCATTTGCCGTGGAAGAAGAGCATCGCAAGCAAGATTTAGATTCATTTCCTAAACTTAAGAAGAAATTTAGTGAAGTTTTTTTTAGCCACACAATAGTTAGACTAGCTTTATTTACAGTGGCATGTGCACTATTCTTTTTTATAGGATATCAAACAAGAAAAAGTCAAGAGAGTAATTCGTATATTAGGCTGCCAACTACCAATTAAGTTTTAATAAATTATTATGTGAACAAAATATTATTGTAAATGTAACTAAGTTTCATTTTTTTATACAAAAATTAATAAAACATTTACCGTAATTTATCATTTGATACTATTTAATTGTTAAAGCAAATATAAACCGAGGTTAATTGTTAGCTGTTATGATATTTTATTTAGATAATTATCATAAAAAATGTTATCTGTAAAACATATATTTGTAAATTACATAAAAATTTGTAAACACAACCAGTTAAAGAATCTGTTAATATCAAATAAACAAAAAAAGAATTTGATACTTAAATGCCTGCTACGATTTCACTGATAATTTTTAGTAGTTGTATATAAAAGTTTCAATATAATTTTATTGTCATAAACATAATTGTAAAAATTTCACTTATAAATTAAAAAATATTATACACTTTTTTATAATAAAAAATTAATTAAAATTTAGACCAATAACCTACAATATAGAACAATTTATTTATTATTTTCTCCCTGTTCATTTAATTTTCTACTTTCTTCTTTCGTTAAAAATCTTCCTGTTGGCGCTCTTTTCCGTTGCATTGCGTGCCTGTGTCTACTCTCATGTAAATAATTATTTTTATGTTCTGCCATTAAAGTATCTAAATATTCTCTTCTTGCTTTTCTTTTTTGTATGCAGCTAAGCTGTTTAATATTAACATATATTGGTTGTGATCCATGATCATCGTAATAACCGTAAGAATACATATTGTCAAAGTTCTGTCCATCTGGTTTATTTTGCATTTCATGATAACTTAATTTTCCTTCGTTATTATTAAAATTTGAAGAATTGGATGAGTTTAAATGGGGCATTTTTACGGAATTATCTCCCCAATCTTTATAAATTTTTTCGTTCTTTGTTTCAGTGTTCCGTTTCATTGGAGTAAGAAAACAATCACAGTTAAAAATATTTTACCTTTAAAACAAAACATATTTGTTTTAAAAGTAAATCATAGGTTAATTTTTTTACCCACAAATGCAGAGACGTACGAAACGACAGAGCTCAAACATTTTTCATATGCTTGGGAAAAACCAAATTGTAGAACTAAGAGAAACATTTAATATTCTGGATGAAAATAGTGACGGTACAATAACAAAAGATGATTTAGAATCATTTTTAAATTCAATAGGCACCCCATTTAGTGAGAAAGAGATTGAAGCAATGATGGCTGAGATGGGAGAAGGATTCTCTTTTATGACTTTTATTACAATGATAGGAGAGAGATTAAGTGCAACTGATAATGAAGTAGAAATTTACAAAGCATTGAAAGAATTTGAGAACGAAGCAGATTTGAGAAAAGGGTTAACAGAAGGAGATAATAGTTTGTCTGATAGCGATGTAGACATTCTTTTCAAAGGATGTATTGAAGATGGCAAATTGAACATTAAACATTTGGCGAAAAAGATCAAATATGGTGAAGTGCTTAATGAATAAAGTGTTTATTTTTATAGATGTCTGTTTTTATCTTAAAAAAATGTTATAATAATAATTCTTTTTGTCTAAAAAGTAATTTTATATGTTGTTACCAATGGTTTAATGTGTTTCAATATCATTTATGTTAACTGAAATAATTAAATTTTGTTTCACAATAAAAAACAAAACTGTAACAAAAAAAAACAAGAACCAAAAACCTATTTTAATTTACTAATTAAGCTAATTTATTAATATTTTTAAACACAAACATTTTTCTTTCATATTCATATAACTCCTCGTCTATTTTACTTACCAAAGTACATAAATTATCTTTTAATTTTAGTAAAAACAACATTACTTCATTTTTTTTGTCATCTATTATTAATTCTTCAGGACTGATATCAGTATTAATTTTTTCAATTTCTTCCATTAAATTACAGTTACACTTTCTTAGTCTACATTTATTATATATGTTATTCACTAATTTTCTGTACACAACAAGTATACTTTGTAATTTATTTTTTATCCGATCTGAATTTAATTTAAGTTGATCAATTTTATTCTGTAGAAATTTATATGACATCTCAAGATTTTTAACTGTATTTAATTGTTCGTAACGTCTTAATTCTATTTCTTTACCTTTAAGTAGTATAGGCATTAATGTGGTATCTTTTTTTAGCGAAGAATACCACAAATCTTCAGGAAAATCTACAGGCCTTGAAAATGGCACTGTCGTTTTGTTATAAAATACAAATCTAAATTTATAATTAGGTGAATCAGGATTATAAGCACTTTCAATAGAATCTATAATATATAATAATTCCTGTTCTTTATTCATAAGGGATCAAAAATATTTGTATAATAAATTTAGAGATAAAAAAAGTGTATCGCGATATTGTTTATTTTTTTGTTTACGTTTTTCCCTTATGACTCTTAACAAAATAAAAAAAATTAGTAGACAATCAGTAGATTATAGTACATTCATAAAATCAGATGCAAATTCTAATTTACAAAAAGAGACATTGCTTAATTTATATTACTTGACAAAACATTATAAAAATCATAAAATTCAAAATAACGAAAACTCAGAAAAGTGCAGTTATAAGCATGTATATAATGTCCGAAAAAGGCACAATTTGCATCTTTTAAAAATAGCCTTACTAGACAATAGACCTTTTAAGTCATCTATATCAGTAGATCAAGGTTTTTATAATTTACAAAATTTTATCTTTCTTTTGGCAATGATAAAAAAAAGACCTGAAATTGTATACTTTTTTTTAAAAGAGGGATTTCCTAAAAACATTAATAATTCGACATTTGGAACAGATTTATCGCCTACTTATTTTCAATTAGCATGTGTCTTGAGCGGTGAGATAATGCGTCTTCTTATGGATTTTTTCCCCTCATACAGTTTAACTTACAACGGGTTGACCCCTCAAATGCTGCTTTTAAATAAAGCACATTTTTTGTACGATAAACAAGAATGGTGTTTTTTAACTACAACACAGTATGAATTACTCAACCAATATAAGTCAATAAAATTAATTAAAAATGAGGAAAATCCGATTTTTTTACTGGATTTTCTTTGTATGAATAATCAGGTTGATGAAGTTAGAAATTTACTAAAAGATTATAGTGAGCTTATAACATATTCTAAATATTGTTTTGTTTTAAATTATAATTTTAAACTCATGGCAATATTAGCTGAAAATTCTATAAATGTTAATCAAACGTTTTGTAAATTAACTCCTTTACACATATCAGCATACATTAATGACATCAATCATGCCATTACTTCACTTATGATTAAAATGGATTGTAATTTACAAGATGACAACGGAGATACACCTTTACATATTGCAGCACGCTTAAAGCATTATACCCTTCTAGAACTTTTTATAAGGTATGGTGGAAATGTAAATATAAAGAATAATGAAGGTAAAACACCCAAAGACTTTTATGATAAAAACAGATGGAAAATGATTCCTCCAAATTATAATGATCAGGATGTATTAGTTAACATAGCTGATATGGATTACAATAATCCGGAATTCCATTGTTCATCCGTTTCTATGAAGCATATTATGAACATTAAAAATTTTAAAAAGCCTTCACGATTTAAAATAACATCTTTATTAAGTTTTTACAGTAGGGAAAATGAAGTAAGAAAAATGGTACAAAGATTAAATATTATCGAAAGATACAGATATAAAACATTCAAGGATCTTGATAGTAGATTTGATCAACATTTATATAAAAAATAATTTTTTCTAACTACCAGCATGCATTATGTATTTTTTTAATCTTTTTCGTCGAATAATTTTAACACAAAATCAATTGCTTCGTCTATTTTTTTATATTCCTCATTTTCTTCTACTGATGGTATTATTTCTTGTCCCATTCCTTTGTAAATAATTTCATCAACTGTTTCATTAATAACAGGATCGCTATCACCATATAATTTAAGAAAATGACTTGTAGTTAGTCTATCATCATTAAATAAAATTAATTTTACTTGTATTGTAAACTCTCCCCATCCTCTATCTATATGTTCAAATGGATATTCTGTAATTATCAAATTATTTGGAAAAGATTCGTGCAATTTGTAATGTACACTTTTAATTATATTTAATGGTGCCTTAACATAAACCTTCCATTCATGTGTAATATCAGAGTTTGGTATATTTATCTTTGTGGCTATAGTACCAATAACAATTCGACAAGATGTGTATCCTTTCATTTAGGGTCTCAAAAGTTTTAATGTAAAAACGTTCTTTAATTTTGGTCTAATAGTTATTATGTTTCTGGTAAAAAAGAAATATTAGTTTATTTATAAAATACGTTTAGTAGTTATTAACTTTTTTTTGAATACTATTAAAAACTTTTTAAAAAAAGTTATTGATTTTTTTAATCCTTTTAATGTTTGGGACATACGAAATTTTATATAAATGTAAACGTACAAATGCTAGAGTATCAACTTTTGAACTGTCTAACGGTAAACTTGAACTTCCAATCTATATGCCTGTTGGTACGTATGGTGCAATGAAAGCCGTTACAACTGATAACATTAAAGAAAATATGATATTAGCAAACACTTATCATCTTAGGGAGTTGGGAAAAAATATAAAAAAATTTATGAAATACAACGGTAACATGCTTACAGATTCAGGAGGTTTTCAAATTGGCAGCCTTCCTGATGTTGTAGTTGAAGAAGAAGGAGTCAAATTTTTTGACAAAATGTTTACACCAGAAGAAAGTATGGATATTCAAATGGTGCTTGGTGCTGATATAATAATGCAATTAGATGAAGTTGTAAATCCTAACGATAAGTTAGAAAGTATTGAAATTGCTACAAAGCGCTCTATTAGATGGCTTGATAGATGCATCAAGCAAGTTTATTATAACGAGAATACCGCAAAACGTATAAAAACTAACGAAGAAATTTTATCGATCAAATTAAGCAGTAAAAGTACACAGATTTTATTTCCTATTGTTACTGGAGGTCTTTCAGAAGAACTTAGACAATTTAGCATAAATGAAATTTTGAAAAGAAATCCAGTAGGACTAGCTATAGGTGGATTAAGTGGGGGAGAAGAAAAAAGTGAATTTGCACGAACAGTCTCTTATTGCTGCAAAAATCTTCCTGAAAATATTCCTCGGTACATTATGGGTGTAGGATATCCCGAAGATATTGTCGTATGTGTCGCATTAGGAACGGATATGTCTGATTGTGTCTATCCAACAAGAACTGCACGATTTGGGAGATTTTTTAGCGATAATGGAGATTTTATTATTAGTAATCGAGTAAAGCACGACTTTACTAATAATGACGAATGCGATTGTTTTACCTGCAAAAATTATTCATTTGCTTATCTAAATTTGCTTAAGGGAACTTCTAATTTTTGTATGCTTGCAACAGAACATAATTTACATTACATGAGAAATTTAACTAAACGCATAAGAGAAGCTATTAAAAATAACTCTTATCCTGAATTTATTAAGGAATTTATGACTAAAAGGTACAAAAAAATACCAGAATGGATTGTTGATGTGATGAAACAATTTAACATTCAATTATGAAAAATAAATTTTTTTGTCTTTTTTAAACAACGGAATTTAAAAAAATTTCAATACGATAAAAAATCTCAAACTTATTAAATTTATTAACAACAATAAAATAATCCGCAACATTTTTGTTTTCCATATTCTTTTGGATTCACAGCGGCCTCACATGCCAAGTCAAATATTCTCTTAACATTTTTAAACTCTACGGACGATGTTTCAATATATTCATAACATCCAACTTTTTGAGTTGCATGGTTTGATACTTTTGCATCTACAACCCTTTCTTCTCTTAAATCTGTTTTTGTTGCACAGAGGATTATAGGTACATCATACGCCTCTAAATTTGTTATAAATTTGATAGCATTATTAAAAGAACCGGTATTATTTATAGCAAAACAAACTATAAATACATCTGTTTGCTGGTACGAAAGTAAATTTGTTTTACTCCACTCGCTGATCCCTGCTGTATCGTAGATGCTCAACATGTAATAATCATCTTTATATTTAATTTTAGACCCAAAATTATCAAATATTGTACTTACATAACCATTTGGTGTTTCATTTGACAGATAAGTTCGAATTAACCATGTCTTTCCTACAGCATTGTCTCCTATAATGACGATCTTTATAGTTCTCATATTATTATTGTTTTTCGTTTGTTTTAAAAAAATGTTTTGAAATTTAATGTCTTATTTTATGAATTATAAATAAATTAATATTTTGATAAATTTTAACATCGCTAAGAAATGATTTTAAAGATTCTAATATATTTTTTTATTTTAATTTTATAAGACAGAAATTGTTTTGGTGTTGCAAAAATTTAAATTTGGTATTGATCTGACAAAATTATTTTATTAAAAATTTAATTTCTCGGATATAATTTTAGATTTTAGAATAATCTGTGTTAGATTTACGTGTTATTTTTAAATAAATATATAAATTATAGAGTTATCTGATTTAAGAAAAAATAATACGACAAAATTTAAATAATCTTTTAAGTATATTTTTAATTTCTAAAAACAATTATAATATAAAGTATTCATCAAATGTTAGTAATATTTTTACAACCTATGTCAATTTTTCGTAAAAAAATTATATTAATTTATTTTTTTAGAATTTTCCAAGATCAGTTAGACAATTATTTTAAAATTTAGTAATTAATCTTAAGTATAAGAACAAAACGTGGGTTTAATTGTTAAGAATTATTTAAGTTTTTACGTGTCAAATATATCAAAAAAATCCGAGAAATATCCACACATCTTCATTATTTCTATAATAAAAAATTTAATTTATATTAAGAAATAAATATTTGTGATATTTATCTCGGATATAAAATTTTATTTTTAATTTAATTGCTTTTTTCAAAAACCTGAATTTTTTAAAAATTCATTTTTTCAAAAAAATAAAAGAATTACTAAAACAAAAACATAATCATCAGCATTAAGAACAAAAAACATAAACAAGTTTAATTATCTTTCAGATAAGAGCATTATAAATATGTTTCTAGATTTTAACAGCCTTCCTGTGTTTATTTTCGCAGCAACTTAATAAACTAAATATAAACAATTTTTGAAAAAATAAATATAGCATGGCTTTTATTAAAAATACTAACTAAGTTATTTTTTTATTTTAATTGTTATTTCTCAAAAATCAAATGATTGTTAAAAATACTGATATTTTGCACAACGGCTTTTTTTGAAAGATATAACTGTTTGTAAATATAAACTTTATGATTTTAAAGACTTAAAAATAAAATTCTGTAATATCTTTACAATGTGGAAAATTATCTATAAGCATTATAATTTCCTGATTTTTATACTTTATTTCATTCTTACATATTATGTTTGAAATTATATGTCATAAACAAGCAATTATAATACATTATGACTCACAAACAAAACATATCATAGAAATAATCTTAAATCTATTTTTTTAATATATACAAAATATTGTACCTGGTGATATAGTAACTTTAAATTGTTTTTTGTTTGTTAAGACTTCTGTCATATTAAATACAATGATATTATATGCATTAAACAGAAACTGAAAAAATATTTTTTTAATCTTTTAAATTAATAAAAAGTAAAGAATACATATTTTAAATGTCTTTTTAACTTTCTTATCATCCCAGCAAAAGTATTTAATTATTAAAATTAATAAATTAAAAGCTTTGGTAAAAATAGATTTTTATTAAATAAATTAAAAAATGATATTTGAATTAAATGCCTGTATTAATTTTATGGCATTCTTATTTTTTAATTTTTTTTTTGTGTCAGGATGATTATTTTTATTAAAAATAGAACTTTAGAATGTTCTATTCCAAATCCAGAATATTAAATAAAAAATGATGTAAGCCATATGAAAGATCATCAAAATACAAACAAGAAATTTAATGTTCCAGATCAGTATGATAATAACTATTATTATCAAGAAAGAATGGAACCACCATATGGAAGGTATCCTATACCCAATGAGTACATGCATCCTGTAAGAATGAATGAATATTTGGATGAAGAACAACTAAAAATTATTTGGAAAAAAGAAAAAAATAGACTAGCAGCTAAAAAGAGCAGGGAGAAGAAATTGACCCATATTAAAGATTTAGAAAAAAAAGAGTACAGAATGGGATTAGAAATTAATGATCTAAAGGAGGCTATAGAGGATTATGATAGAATTTTAAAAAATATATTTGATTATATAAAACATTGTATAGGAAGAAAAGATAAAAAACAAGAGAATCTTGTGTATTTATTTGATTGCCTGTGTAGATTGAAAAAACAAAATGGAGAACAGAGTTTTTTTCTTAAAGACATTAATTACATGTTTGAAAATAAACTTACTGTAAAAAACGAAGATATAGAAGATTTAACAGATAATTTAAGAGAATCTTTAAATGAAATATTTGAAAGAAAATAAATTTGTTGTAATATTTTTTATCTGTAAATTTTAATTTATGTCGAAATAATATAATATTTTGTATTTTAAAAAAAGTAAATAATATATATTTTAAAGGAGATAAATATATTTTTATCTAAAAAGACTTAAATAAATTTTAATGAAAGAATATTTATTTTAAACTTTTAATAAAAGTATTTAACAATTTTGTTAAATTAAGAAAAAAATAAATATTTAATTGTTTGATTTATAACGAACAAAATCAGTTTTAAAAATCAATATAATTTTTTTGACTGCCTTTTTTGTAAAAACTTTTAATTTACGAATAAATTGATTTATAAATAATTATTTGATACTATAAGTATTTAAATTCTTTTTTTTTGTAATCCATGTCTTCATTAAACGAAAGTAAAGAGAAATGTCAGTGTTGTACCTGTACACCATGTCCAAAGTCAATTAGCTGTTGCAACAAAGTATCTGACACGTGTTTTAAAGAATTTGTGCCTTTACCAAAAGGTCTTAAGAAAGATGATTTAAAGTTGGATGTTCAAAAGAATTCATATAAAATATGTGGTCGTTCTACAATACATTGCGGGGAAGATGAATGCATTATTCATTCAGTCGAATTTGAAAGAAGATTTAAAAAGCCTATTAAAGATGCTGTCATAAAAGAAGAATGTGGTCATCCATATGTTGAAGGAAAATTTGAATAAACTTTTAAGTTTATAATAGTTACTTTTTAACAAATTTAATAATACGTATAGTAATAAGTTAACACTCTATTACAAATTTGCCTTTTTTAAATTCAAAACTTTTTTACGTTTTGAATTATTTTAACATCTTAAAATTTGCTACAAAAAAATAAATTTTTGAAAAACCCCCTTTAAAAATGACGAGCTTTAGCCACAATAATATAACTGTAGAATATCTACAGTCACTTTTAAACGGTAGTTTATCTGCAAGGGAAGTTTTAGAATTAATAAAACATGTACATATATTTTTGTTAAATGAGTTTAATGTAGAGGTTATAAGACTTCTTCTGGATATTATTTTGTACGTCAAGAAAGATGAATGTTTTGATGCATTTATTGAGTTATATTTTGACTTTAAAAATAGTGCTGATTTTATAAATATTATTTTACAATGTAAAGATGTTTATTTTTTACGTTTTTTTAGATATTTAAGAGATTTAGATATTGATAAGACAGACTGGAATAATTATATTAAAAACACTATATTGTAAATATATATTTCAAGATAGATTAGTAAATTAGATTTATAACGTAAAACTGGCATAATAGTTTTTTATTTTAATAAATCTTAAGTGTTTGCTTTAATTTAAACACTTAACAAAATAAATAGATAAATTTGTGGTATCACAACCACTGAAGATATTAAATCCTAAGATTTATTAGAAAGTAGTTGTCATTCTTCGTAATTTCGATAGGTAAAAGTAAAATTAAATATTTTTATTTAAATAAATTAAAATAAATGGCGTGTGGTAAATTATATCACAAAATAAAAACAAATTTTAAATTAAAAACAACATTTAATTTTATATTTTTTTATTTTTGTAGTTTATAAAATATTGTTATTATTAATGATATTATTAAAACTATTAATCCCCTCGTCGTATTTATTAATGGATAAAACCATATCTCTGATTTGTACCATATATCTTTAGGAATTGTCTCTAAATCTACTCCTTTTTTGCAATACGGACAACTATTCTTTTTCGCTATCATACACCATCCTTTAATACAATTTTCGTGGAATGAATGACTACAAATGAGAGTATGTATTGGTTCAGTATTATCAAACGCCTTTGTACATATCATGCACAATGTATCATTATTATTTCTATTAGGAACACCTTCCTTACTATAAAATCCTGTATTTGTTGCCATTGCTTCGCTAAAAAAATAAACAATTTCTCTACTTAAAACTGCGAAATATAAAAAAACTAGAAAGCATAAAAAGAATATTAGAAAAACAGAAGGTAAAAATAAAAAGGTCATTATAGTGCAAAACTGGAATAAGAATACTCCCAAATTAGTAATCATAAATAGAATCTTAAAAATATTAAATACTTTTCTAGGCAGATCTTTATCTACCGGTTTCTTTTTAATCTTTAAATAGAGTAATACCATAGGAGAAGAAAAGGCTATCCAGATAAATAAAAAAGTATAAGTCTTAAAAAATAATAAAATTAAAGGGGGTGTAAAAAAGAGAACTGAAAATATAAGCAAATCATAAGTCTTTTTACTTACCTTTTTTAGTATCATGCATATCGTTTGCAAAATTAATCCGTACATGATTAAATAAAATACTAAAGGAAGAAAACTCATAAAAGTAAGAGGTTTTTCTATTACTACAACCCTCGTCTGTCTTCCAATTTTGTATCTATTACATCTAAGTTTAGAATATGTATTCACACCTTGTTTTTGACTTGGCTGTAATGGATTGTTATTTTCATTTGGTTGTACTTCCTCCAAGGAAAAAGAACCAGGATCAGATTCTGCAGTGAAGTTTTTCTCAGACATGTAGGGTAAAAGTTTAAAAAAAATAAATATTTTTAAATTATCCTTTTTAGGCAAATATAATAAAGTTTAAATAAAATTCATATAATTGGTACTTGTAAATATAAATGATTAAATTTGTCGTATTATATTAGTTTCCATTTACTTATTATAAATCATTAAAAATATGTTTAGTGTGTAAAAAACACAAATATATATTTTTTGACTCAACCACATTAAATTAATACATTTATATTTTTTAAAAAAAAAAATTCGATGTAAAAAATTACTTTAATGTGTATAAAATAAACCATTTATTAAATTTGAATTAAATATAGTACAATAAGTATATTATTTTCTTTATTTTTGTAGAAATAATAAGGATATGTCGATATTTTTCAAATCATTTATGATATGTTTAACATGTAAAATATAAATAATTGTAAATAATTAAGCGCAATAAAGTATTTTTTAACCTCGCACTTTTTTTTTTGTGTCTAAGGATGGGGAAATGCACACGCAGACCATCCACAAAACCACGAGACTGATTTGTTTCAGGTACTGTGGGACTCGAACCCACTAAAACCCCACCCCCTTAGACTATGGTGCATCAAGCTCCGCCATACCCATTGGGCTTTGGCTCCAGGAGAATCTTTGGTCATCGGATAAGACCCGTTGGATCATACCCTCCCTCAGAGGAATAATTCTCTGCAAAAATCTAGCAGCGGATAGGACAAAAGAGTCCGCACCCGTCTGGTCGATAAGCACAGAGTTTCCGAACCCCGTGTATAGAACCACGAGGACATCACTTCCAGCCTCCTCTCCCAGGAGTATGCGCAGCAGTGCTTGCAACACCACTGACATGCTATTGTTTGAATTTTTTACGTACTGGCTAGCCCCAGTAGACCACCACTTGAAGTAGTGATCCCGATACTCGTCCCATCTCTGGCAGAAAAAGAATAGGTGCTCTATCGTCTCTACGACCGAATCTTTGCAAAATGGACAGAAGGATCGGAACCGGTTGTCCAGGACACGTTTGTTGACGAGGTTTCGGACGAAATTGAAAGTGCCACTTCTCATTCGACCAATCCCCAAACATCCCCTTTGGAGGTCAGGATACAAGCACCCGAGCTTGATCCATCTTGGTTTTGCCGTTAGGTTATATTCCGCTGCCCAAGCGCCAATCTTGGTTCTTGTGTCTGTTTCTCTTACAGAGAACACATTGTCTATCATAACCTTAGTAAGCTCACCACCGGCATTCCATCCTGCGTAACGCTTAAGCCACTTGATATTTCCAGTAACCCATGTCCACTCTCGTGACCTAAACTGGCTTGTCGACAGGGTTGCGATCCATGTCTTACAACCAGGCCACTTCGCTACAGCTCTAGCTCGCTTAACAGCCGCTATATTTGCAACCGACTGTATTCCTAGCTCGGACCGAATTCTGTCCATCGCCGCATTCCTTCCTCCTCCAACTACTAATCTGCATGCTTCATTCATGATTCGTTGAATACCCTTGCACCTTAGAGTTGACATTCCCCATACCTCAGCTCCGTAGGTGAGAATCGACTGTAGTTTCACTTTTATTGACAATATTTTCACGTATACCGGCATATCCTTCTTAGAGAGTAAGTAATACATTGCTCCTATTGCCTTCCTTCCTTTTGATTCAACATGTTGCATCATGGAATTCAAGCACAGGTCTGGTGTAAACCTTATCCCTAAGTAGATATACTCGGATACTTCGGGTACAACATTCCCCATAATCTCGAAAGGTTCTGGTTCCTGTTGTTCCACTCTGGCTTTCTTATTTGGCTGAAGGAAATTTGGTCCTCCTGCTATAACGTCTTCGGTTGCTCTTATCTTCATGATACCACACTTCGATGCATTAACTGACATCTCGTGCTTCTCACTCCAACTCGTCAGCAGGTCCAGGTTCCTCCGCAATGCGGATTCACTCTCTGCCATAACAACCGCGTCGTCAGCGAACAATAGTCCACTAACGGCTTCCGATACACCAGGAATAGCGACCCCATCCATGCCTTGTAAGAGGTCATTAATAAAAAGATCAAAAAGGATTGGTGAAGCAGGGCAACCCTGTCTTACACCACAGTGGTAATTTACTACGGGTGATGTAGAGGAGCCGACTCTAACACACATCCGCGGGTCTTCGTATAGTGATTTGACCACTTGTAACAAGTGTCCTCCTATCCCTATACTCTCCAACTTCCTAAGTAGTGCACCTTGAGGAACCTTGTCATATGCTTTAGCGTAATCGATAAAAGCCAGGTAGGTGCTTTGGTTTCTTATACTTCGCCTTTTCACTACCTCGTATAAGGTAGCTACTTGAGCCGTACATTCCTCCAAAGTCCTGAACCCAGCCTGCTCTTTAGCTAGGAGACCATGGGTCTCCGCAATCTGACTGATTCTATTTGCAGCTATTTTGGCTACGACCTTTGTGAGTGATGGCAGTAATGCAATGCCTCGGGTGTCGCCCATGTTGACCACGGACATTACCTTCTTTGGTATTGGTACCACTTCACCCACATTGATCTCTCGTGGTATAACCGCTTCGTTCCAAATGGCCCTAACAGTTATCCACAGAGCCTGAGCCGCTTTAGATTCAGGTTCTTCCTCCATAGATATTACCTTCAGGATATCGGCCGGAATTCCGTCGAGTCCTGGGGCTTTTCCCCATGGAGTGGTTTTTAAAGCAATCCTTAAGTCCTCATAAGAGAGAGACTCGTCGCACTCAGGAAATGCTTCACACTTTTTAGGAAATTTGCTGTTCCAGTACTCCAGGTCCCTCGAGTGCCCGGTTTTATCCGAAGCGAGGTCCCCGAAGTGTCTGGCCCACAATTCTTCCTTTCCCTTCTTATCATGTATGACGTTACCCGTATAATCATCGAGTACTGGCTTGTCTGATACCCCGTCACCGGTTGATGATCTAATCTCACGAAATAGATCTCGATAACGGTTCTCGACTACCATTTTAGCTATAGCCTGTGATTTCCGTGTCCGGGCCTCACAAGCGTCTTTTTTCTTAGCTTTCTGTACTCTCATCTTGAGATCGTCGTACACAGTACGATCGAAGTTTGGGTCATTCCTATGCTTGAAAGCCTTGCGCCTTCGCATAATGAGAGACCTCGTTTCCTTCGAAATATGTACTCGCCATTCTTTCTGGGAGAGCTTTTTGGTTGCATTGCAACCTTTGGCCACTTCCCAGACCGTGTCAATAAAAGCTTTTGTCAGGATCGATAGATCTGCATCTACCTTACCTGTCACAGCTTCCCACTTTTCGTCCTCCACAAACTGTGGTCGGACATCCTTAACTTTGGTACGAGAGATTATTGTCTTCTCTTCTGGCGGTAAGGGTTTCTCCCACATGATTTTCACATACACAGGAAAGTGATCAGATATGTCCCAGTGTTGCATAGGCCACACAGTGGGACGTTTACTGAATCCTTTCACTGCCATATGGTCTATCGCCGACCAATTGGTCGTCCAAGACCATCGTGTTTTCATTAGAGGATTAGGTAAGACTTCTAAAAAAAAAAAAAAAAATAAAATAAATTTATTGGTAAAATAAAAAAATAAAAAAAAAAAAAAAAAAAAAATAAAATAAATTTATTGGTACGTTAAAGAAAAGCCCAA